TGTTATCCTTGTCGATTCCACAAGTGCTCAATAAGATCATATTCATATTGTGACGAAACTAAAAAAATCTGAGCGAGTGGTGCTAACTAGGTAGAATATAATTTGAATGAAAAGAAATGTGTGTATTTATAGGACATTTTAGAAAGCCGTTGCTAATTTTCAGCAAGATGTAAATGATGGTCATGGAACACATGTGGGGTGCAACTCTTTGGGACGAAAAAGTAGCCATTAAGCAAGAAATTTATAGTATGCAATGATGCAGGTGATGGCAGGTGATGGCAGTAAGCACATAAAGCTAGCCAATTTCTTAAATGATAGTTTTTTTTCTTTCTTTTTTTCTTTTTTGTAATTCAATGAGGATTCCACCAATGCGTCCCCCCCCCCCTCTCTCTCTCTGTCTGTTTGTTTTTCTCTCCAGATCCACAAGCTCTATCCTCAGTTTCAAGCTTCAGCCATCGCCCTTTCTTCTTGTTCGAGGTAGGCGGCAGCCCGCTTCCCTCCTCCTTCCTCCTCTCTTCTTTGCCTTTTCAATCTTTTTCGTCCTTTCTCATCTCCTCTGTCTATCCCTGTCCCTACGTCCACCTCCTCTTCCTCTACCCTGGATCCCTTTCCAATCTCCTTCCTACATTTTTATTCCTGGTTCTTCCCGGAGTTTATCTCAATTTACTTTGAGTCGGGTCTCAACTATTCTCTGAGCTTATCTCAGATTTGGGCTTCATGCCCCCTATTTGGCCTTTTTCCCTTGAGCTTGTCTAAGTTATAAAGTTATATTTGACCTCACATTTGATTTCAAAAGTTATATCGGTCTTCAATGTATATTTTGACTTTAAACTTTAAACTCTTGTGCCGAAAACTCAAAACTTAAAATTTTTGTTTTCTTTTTATTTTATTTCGAGTCATAAATCAACGTAACGAATACATTTTATCCCATGACATAAGAATCACTATTGGTGTTCTTCATATTATCCTTGTCGATTCCACAAGTGCTCAATAAGATCATATGCACATTGTGACGAAACTAAAATTTTTTGAGCGAGTGATGAAGCAAACTAGGTAGAATATACTTTGAATGAATGTGTTCTACAAGGTTTACATGTTTTTATCACAAATGGTATCAAAAATTGACACACACTATCAAAATGATCATTGAAATTGAAAAACAATCAATATAATCTCTGAATATAGGTGTAGCATATTAATATGCCCATTCCATCATTATTTTGTCAAAAATTTTGGGGTAAAGTACAAAAAATTATCTCAACTATTGGTGTCACGACACTTTCATACCTTATCTTTTAAAATTGACAATGTCATAACTCATCTTACGAATTTGTGCCAATGTTATACCTTCCATTAGTTTGGCCGTTTATTTCTTAGTTAAATGTTGACGTGGCTTGATCCAGATCCATTTTCTATTAAAAATTAATAAAATATTATTAAAAACTAAAAAAAAATCATTTAATAATTTTTAAATATTAAAATAATAAAGAAAAGTAAAAAATTAAAATTAAAAATTAAAAAAAAACCCTCACACCCCCTTCCCCCCCTTCTCTCTCTTCTCCCCCATCGTCATCTTCTTCCCCTTCTAGCGCCCTTCCTGCAACCCAGAAAAAAGAAGAAGAAAAACAAAAAAAAAAAAAAAAAAAAAACCCAATTTATCTTCCGCCCTCCCCCCCCCAACTCGCGATTTTCCTCGACCCCCTTCCTTTCTTCCCCCCTCCCGTCTTCCCTAAACCTACACCCACCCTCGCACTCACTACCTGCAACCCAAAAAAAAACCAGGAAAAAACCCAGTTCGTCTGTTCCCCCCTTCCCCCAACATGCAGAAGAAGATGAAGAAGAGAGAGAAGGAAAAAAAAAAAAAAATTAAACCTAGTTCGTCCGTCCCCCTCCCCTCCCCCCCCTAGACCCACCCTCTTCCCTCCACACCCATTCCCCCCATTTTCTCCGCGCCTAGGTTCTCAACCTTTGGAATCGGCCTGGCGAAGGTTTCCCGATTCCACCCCAACGGGATTTGGGTTTTTTTTTTTTTGGGTTGCAGGTAATGGGTGTGAGGTTGGGTGCGAAGGTGCGGAGGTTGGGTGCGGGGAGAAAAGGGGGTGGGGAGCGGGGAAGACAAATTGGATTTTTTTGTGGGTTGCAATTGCAGGAAGGGGGAAGAAGAGAGAGAAAAGGTAGGAAGGGGACGAACTGAGTGTTGTTGTTGTTATTTATTTATTTTTTATAACTTTTCTTTATTATTTTAATATTTAAAAAATATTAAATGATATTTTTTAGTTTTTAATACTTTTTTAATAGAAAATGGGCCCCGGATCAAGCCACATCAGCAATTTAACTGAGAAATTCACACCAAGCTAACGGAAGGTATAACATTGGCATAAATTCGTAAGATTGGGTATGACATTGTCAATTTTAAAAGATGAGATATGAAAGTGTCGTGACACCAATAGTTAAGGTAGTTTTTTGTACTTTACCCAAAATTTTGTTATGTGCTCCTATGGGTTTAATAATTACTTTAAAAATTTGTCAAATTACCTTTTTGCATAATGAGATTATCTCCAGGCAAAGCTTGCCCGCTTTTTGCATCATCAAGATCACTGAGGGAGCGCCCATCAAGCTTTCCATGATTAAGGTTGTGAGGATGTCGATCACCCAAATTTTAACGCTGATGTCACATAAGTCGTCGCCAATCCAAGCTGTTATCAAAGGTGGTCTAAATCCTGGTCCAATTCAGTGAAGGGTGTAACGATAGGTATCTTGATAATTTTTGTTTCCAAAGAAGAGATGGAAAAGGATACCACAGATAGAGGTAGATGAGTGTGGGTTGAGATTAGAGGTAATTGGGGGATTGAGTTTCTGGATTGACAACTTTTTAATTAATTATTAAATTGGTTTCTATTTTTTTATTTGATTAGACTTGTGGGACCCATTTATGTGTCACATCAAATATAACAAAATTTTTGACAGAATTGTGATAGACCACATTGATTTGAGGCACCTATTTTTAGGATTACATTGATTGATTTTCAATTTTAAGGACAATTTTGATAGTTTGGGTCAATTTCAAAGATCATTTGTGATTGAAAAAAAAAAAGAAGGACTTACAGGTCCATTTATGTGTCACATTAGGACATAACATAATTTTTTATAGAATTGTGATAGAAATGCCACATTGATTTGCGACACCTATTTCTAGAGATTACATTGATTAATTTTCAATTTTAGGGATCATTTGTCATAAAAACCTTTTTATTTACTCAATTTAGCTACATTTGGAATTCAAGTTTTCTATAGACCCTGAGACTGGAGCACGACATATTCCTAGGGAAGTCCACACTGGTTGAAATGCTCTTAAAGCATCTTCAATGCAAAGTCTCAAATTCTAGACTTATATTTTTATAGTTGGGTCTAAAAATGGTGGTGGATTTATGTATTTTGATTTTCTTCTCCAATGCAAATACGGAATCTAAGACTCATTTGAGTTTTAAGATTTGAGTCCTTGCCTTGGAGGAGAAATATTGGACTCAAAAACCCATAATTGAGTTTAAACAATTTGGTTATGTGTACTGGAGTTAATTGTACTCAATACTCAAATCTCATCTTTCTTGGTTGAATAACATTTTTCCTAGATATTATGGGCTCCACCTTGGGCTGAAGTCTCATATTGAAACTCAAATTTGGTTCTCAACTTTCCCGAAGACTTATATATAAGGTCTAAATTTTCGGTGCACTGGAGAACTTTAGACTCATATTTAGAATATCTTTATAAATAAATAAAAACATATAAAATGTATTTAAAGTCAATTCATTTTAGGATCCAACTATTAATTAAATTTTGGATAGTGCTATTCACACACCTATTTATATCTCCTACACACCCTTGTTAATTTTTGGTTATTGATCATTTTCAATTTATTCGATCTGATAACCAAAAATTGAGAGGTGTGTGTGAAAAATAAAAATGGATGTGTAAATAGCATTACTCTATATTTTATACAATTCATGATGTCCACAATAACCTTTTTATTAATATTCATAGAAAACTCAAGAAGCCGAAGGGCTTAACATGTAGGCCCAAAATGAGGTCCAACAATGTAGGAAGTAACCTCTTTCTGGTCTCTTCTGTTGATGTTCTTTGTTCCATAACGATGAAAAGTTTGAGCCCACAATGTTTAGATTTCAATTTTATGTTGGTGTTGAGCAAGATGAAGATGATTAAGAGCTTGTTTGGATGTGCTTTTAAAATGATTAAAACCGTTTTTGGTGAAAATGTTTTTAGAACCAATCCTTAATAAAAATGCAAGTAAATCCTGGAAAAGTACTTAAATGCTTTCTGGAAGAAGCACATAATTGGTGCTTCTTGTAGAAAGCACTTCAAGTGCTTTTCAAACCCAAAAAGATTTTCTCAAAAAGCGTTTTCAGTTATTTTAAAAGCACATCGAAATGAGCCCTAAATCGTTGGAACTCTATGCGCTCTTGATTTCCCTCACATGAAAATGTGGGAAAAGTAATCACAATGTCAGTAATCCGGAAGCATATATGGTATACGAGTAATTTGATTTCAGAAGATTAGACTTGTTGTAAACTCAATGTCTTTTATTTCACATTAAAGGGAGTTTGCCCTCAAAATTCTCCATGGAAGGCTGGGAATTTACATGAACATGAATTTAGAAATTGCAAGAATGCCACTTAAATAGGAAAAAAAAAAAAGGGAACCCGATTTAAGCTACGAATGCAAATTTGTTTGATGAAGGAAATGTTTACTCGGTTGGGGTTTTAAGCAATTTGTTTGATCGAGAGATCCTTATCGTTTAGCCTTTGCCTTTCTTATATAGGGATCAAACCGTAAGGAAATGAACATGTTGAACCATGCAGTTCCACCGGCCATACTCTAGGGTTTATGAATGAGATAATATTAACTAATATCTTGAGTAGCAAAAAATTATCTTGATGATACCAACCATTAATGAGTAAATTTTAGACAAATTTAGGCTCAAAGATAGGGAATCCATTGAGAATGACAAGAAGATACAACCAGTGGTGTGGTCCGTGTTGGACAAAAGTCCACATGTACCGTGAAAACACAAAACATTTGAACAGCTGTTGAGGATGACCTCCGGCCGCCAACAGTGCATGGCAGGAATTCAATCTCCAGCGTTTCATTTGCTTCATATGTCATACAACATCTTGGAGAATGATTTCATGTGCTCAGGTTGCAGAGTAATAACCAGCGATAAACTCTGATAATTTGTTGCACTTGGTAGTATGAAAGAAATTCCCTCAAATGGCATTGTGCCAGGTCCCATGTAAATAGGTCGTCCCCAACCAAAAATCAGCATCGTGAATCGGCAGCCTAATCCAACTGTTTATATCAAGATTCGGGCACCATATAGACGAAGGCCCAGTGACAAGTTCACAAAGACGAGGACGATTAAGCTCAAGGTAGTTAATAATTGATCTAAGATAATCGTTGTCCACGTGCACCAAAGCATCAGGCATACGGCTTGCAGCATACCATGTCGGTTTTGATAGCAGATCCCCTACTGCAGCAATTGGTGTGGTTCTGAAAACAGCATTGCCAAAGTAAGCAGGTGGGAGCGGGGGTTGCAATCTAGACCTTCCATCAGTTGTAATATGAAGTTTGGTGTTTTGATCATCGGGAAGTTGACGTGCCTTGCATTCACATCTCCAAATACGACCTCCCAACATCTCAAATGAGCAATACCTTATTGTATTCCCGCCATCTTCTGTAGACTTGGCCTTCAAGATGTTGAGCTGCTCCCGCGTAAATCTGAAAATGGAGGTTGTATTATCAGTAATACTTATGCTCTGTGGATGAGGGGTTTTCATTTGGGTAGAAGGTTGGCATTCGACATGAGGGAATGCAGGCTAAGGTGGGTCTCGGGAACGAAGTAATGTCCTGTCCATGAATGGTTGAACTGTAAGATCCAGACCACGAGCCATATCAAGCCATGTATTTATAAAGAAGAGACCTGAAACTCCATTTGCTATGAGGTGTTCCATGCCAACACCAAGCGACACTCCGCCGTATTTGTAGTGTTTGACCTGCATGCATATCAAGAGACTCAATTTCAGAACCATACTTTGTAAACACAAGGTCTCGCTCAGTACACGAGTTGCTCTCAAAATATTGTGGTAGAAGATATTAAGTCAAACACAAATTCATAGTGTTAATTAGGTGTGTAGATCCTCGAGTAAAGTTGCAATCCAATTGGGGGACAAAATTTAGTAGCACGTTTAGTATTATTTTTTTAGAATAGATTTGGTTAATTCGGAATCTTCTTCATATAGTCCCTATAGGAATGTAATTATCTATTATAATTATTTAGAATTCCTTTCACATGATTTTTATCAAACACTGTTTGCTCCCTAAATCGCCATAGGCCTCGCGGGCATGCCAGGAATTTACTTAAACATGAAATTGGTGGGTGCAAGCGTGCCACTACTAGACGGGATTTGAATGATTGAGGTTGCGCCTGAATTTGACTTCAAACCAAGAGATTGTGCCATGGAGTGGGAGTGGCTCAAATCAAGGTTCTTTGTTTGCCTTAAAGATAAGGACTTTACTTATACGGAGTGATGGAACAATATGTAAATGGCAAGGTTGCTGGAAATGTAACTGACAGAGGAAAGTAAATGATTGGTATTGTAGATTGCTTGTAATTTAAATGACTAAAAAGGGGTTGTACATGAACTATAAATGAGATCGATACTACTAGTGAGCAGTAGAGCTAATAAACAAGGAAACAATGGATGCCTGGCTAAAGCTAAATGTCTACAAGGAAGCTGATGAGCTAATTTGAGCAAAGTTGATTGATTGGTTGTTTGAGTGTCCATAATCCTTCTGCCTTTGCTTCTTTATATAGAGATTTGAAAGAGCCCAATTGCTGAGAACAATGATCTTGCCCTAAAGAAGCTTGGCCAGCTTGCATTGTGAAATAATATTAAAAGGGGAACTTGCACTTCCACCACATGTTTTCACCACGTGTCTCTACCACTTGCAATAAACTAATAATTAAAAGAAGCAAGCTGACTTCTTTCACATGACATCTGTTAGAATGTCTGTGTCTTCCCATCCACTTGTATTAGGAAAACATGCAATTGTTGTTTAAACAAAACTCTTGGCAAACCTCCACCACCCAAACAATAAGGAAAAACATTATTATAATATTAAACTATCCCACTTGCAGCCAAATATCTTTCCAAGTTCAATGTTTTTGTCCCATCATCCTCCAAAAGCCATATTTGCCACATTTAGCCTAAATGACACATTTTAGGTGCAAACAAACTCTACATATATATTAACTGATGACTTCGCGGATGGTAGTTGCCGAAGTAGCCCGAGCTTTGGTCGTAGGTGCTGGTGAGAGTTGGGGAGGCATGTAGAGTTTGTTGGTGACCTAATAATGGTTCTATCAGGCATCACCAGTCAGGTAAGATAACCCCATGCTCTTCTTGCAATAGCCATTAAGAAGCTCTTTGATATAATTTTGCACAGGAAAGCCATGTTTTTTGCTTTTATAAAGCCTTCAATTCCATGAATCTTGGTGAAATTTGTGGAAGATTAGCCATTGATTTTGGCTTTTTATAACTTTTGGGTTCGGGCTAAATACATCCATTGAATAAGAAAAAAGTGAAAAGAAGAGTGAAAATGCCACTTGCAAACTGCCTAGATCTTTATATTTTCTGTAAAGCCCCCCAGCAAGAAAACAAAAAGGCAAAGAAAGCAAGAAAAAGAAACAAAAGCAAGAAAGAAAAGTGTTTTTGTGGTTTTTGGAAATTTTAATTTTTATATCTTTTTCTTTGTAATAGCAATAAGAAACACACAAAAAAAACAAAGCCCTTTCGGGCACCAAAACAACAAAAGAAAGCCCTTTGTCGGGCAACAGAAATGCCCACTAGGGCAGATTGAAAAAAGGTTACCCAGATTTTTATATCTTTCTTTTCTGCTTTTTTTGTTTTTTTGTTTTTTTTTTAAATTAAAAAGCAAAAGGGGAGAGAGAGCCCTTTCGGGCAAATTAAAAAAGCAAGCCAGATTTTTTTTTTTTTATATTTTTCTTTGTTGTCTTTTTATTTTTATATATACTATAATATAATATAATGCCCATTCGGGCAAAGTGAAAGAAAAATATACGGAAAAAGAGAAAGAAATAATAAAAAGGGAAAAAGAAAGAGAAAGAGAAAAGGAGAAGAAAGGTACTGGGAGAAGAAAGCCATTCAGGCAAGTTGGGTGAAGCCCCTTGGCTGCTCAAGCATTATTTTTCTCTTAACACTCAAATGTTTTTCTTTTCTTAAAATTGAGTGTAGAGAAATCAGATCCACTACTTAAATTGGTCATATTATGTAGCTTGGGAACCATAGGAGGTGGCCAATCATGTTTGATCCCAAGCTTTGTCCTTCTTGAGATCTCGGTATGGACAACATGCTTGTGTTGGCAGAGAAGAGTGTGGGAGCTATTTTCTTCTTCTTCGAACTCCACACGAGGTATGGGTTTGAGCCCCCCAAGCGTTGGTGTTTGGCCTACAATAGCCATAAGCTCCATCTTAGCCGTTATCGCTTTTGATATGTTGGTTTGGTCTCCTACAACTATATCCATTTTCATGGATTTTTCATTGGGTGGGGCCATTGCTTGGCCTCCATCAATGTGTATGATTTGTTCTTCCTTGGTTGTAGTAGGGTGAGTTTGTTTTGTAGAGGGGATTTGACACATTTGATCTATTAACTTTCTCATGGTTTCTCCGAAAGTTGTATAGCTTTCCTCTATCCTTTTAAAACACTTGGTCACCTCTTCACCATATTCGATGATTGCCACATGAGTTTTGGACACCTTCTCTAATTTGCCCACATCCTCATTGTAGAGCTTTTCTTCCGGATGATCATTAGTTGGCATCTCATATATTGGCTCTATGTACTCAGAAGCATTTTGATACTCAAAGCCATTTGTTGGCCTATCATAGTATTCATGAATGTGATTGTTATCAAAAGAATATTAACTTTCATCATAGCCATAAGTTGGCCAATCCTCATGATTATTATTCTTTAGTTGATAGCCATTAGTTGGCGGACAATCATATCCCATGGGACTTGAGTACTCCTCATCCATGTACCCATAAGTTGGCAATTCATAGGTTGGCTCCAAGTGATTTTCATCATAGCCATAGCTTGGGCATGCTTCAACACCATCATCCTCTTCCCACTCCGGAATGTAGTGGTCGAAAATTTGTTGAGAAAAATCATGAACATATGGATTGTTCATGATCTAACTCCATATAAATGTCCCACCGAGCATGCCAAAATGTTTTCTCCCTAAATTCACCATGGTCCTCACTGGCATGCCGGGAATTTACTCAAACATGAGATTGGTGGGGGCAAGCATGCCACTACCAGATGCCGTTAGTAGACGAGATCTGAATGATTGAGGTTGCGCCTGAATTTGACTTCAAACCAAGAGATTGTGCCATTGAGTGGGAGTGGCTCAAATCAAGGTTCTTTGTTTGCCTTAAAGATAAGGACTTTACTTATATGGAGTGATGGAACAATATGTAAATGGCAAGGTTGCTGGAAATGTAACTGACAGAGGAAAGTAAATGATTGGTATTGTAGATTGCTTGTAATTTAAATGACTGAAAAGGGGTTGTACGTGAACTATAAATGAGATCGATACTACTAGTGAGTAGCGGAGCTAATAAACAAGGAAAGCAATGGATGCTTGGCTAGAGCTAAATGTCTACAAGGAGCTGATGAGCTGATTTAAGTAGAGTTGATTGATTGGTTGTTTGAGTATCCATAATCCTCCTGCCTCTGCTTCTTTATATAGAGATCTGAAAGAGCCTCATTGCTGAGAACAATGATCTTGCCCGAAAGAAGCTTGGCCAGCTTGCATTGTGAAATAATATTAAAAGGGGAACTTGCACTTCCACCACATATCTCCACCACTTGCAATAAACTAATAATTAAAAGAAGCAAGCTAGCTTCTTTCACATGACATCTGTCAGAATGTCTGTGTCTTCCCATCCATTTGCATTAGGAAAACATGCAATTGTTGTTTAAACAAAGCTCTTGGCAAACCTCCACCACCCAAACAATAAGGAAAAACATTATTATAATATCAAACTATCCCACTTGCAGCCAAATATCTTTCCAAGTTTAATGTTTTTGTCCCATCATCCTCCATAAGCCATATTTGCCACATTTAGCCCCGAATGGCACATTTGTAGACATCAAAATTTCGGTGAAATGAATGTTGATCAATAATTAAAATTTCAACGTTCACGTGTCACATAAATTTTACATGTAGCGTGTGATTCAACAAAAAATCGAAATAAATTGGAAAAGTCATCAAATATGACACGTGTCAATACCTGGCAGAAACGATTTATTTCATCTGATTATTTAAATCCAAAAATCAAGTTTTGGAATTCTATAAATATGAGGCCAAAGGCATTCATTTGGAGGGGGAAGAAAAGAAGGAGGAAGAAGGGAAAAAAAGAAGGAAGGAGAAGGAGAAAGGAAAAGAAGAAAAGAAGGAAGGAAGAAAGAAAGAAGCCTTGAAACTCTAAAGCTCTCAAGCAAATCCCGAAGGATCAAGAAAGCAATCTTCGTTCTTCGTCAAATCCACCTTCAAGATCAAGCCCCGACGGCCCTTGAAGAACTTCCACCAACTCAAGATCAAGCCCCGACGGCCCTTGAGGAAAGTGTTCATCATCCACACATCCGTTCATCCTTCAAGATTAAGCCCAGAAGCCCTTGAAGATCCGTTCATCCTAAGATCAAGCCCCAACGGCCCCTTTGGATCAACAAATCCACACATCCGTTCATCGTTCATCATCCATCAACCTTCAAGATCAAGCCCCGACGCCCTTGAAGAACTTCCACCAACTCAAGATCAAGCCCCGACGGCCCTTGAAGAAAGTGTTCATCGCTCATCATCCGTTCATCCTAAGATCAAGCCCCAACGGCCCCTTTGGATCAACAACCTCAACAAATCCACACATCCGTTCATCCTTCAAGATTAAGCCCAGAAGCCCTTGAAGATCCGTTCATCCTAAGATCAAGCCCCAACGGCCCCTTTGGATCAACAACCTCAACAAATCCACACATCCGTTCATCCTTCAAGATTAAGCCCAAAAGCCCTTGAAGATCCGTTCATCCATCAACCTTCAAGATTAAGCCCAGAAGCCCTTGAAGATCCGTTCATCCTAAGATCAAGCCCCAACGGCCCCTTTGGATCAACAACCTCAACAAATCCACACATCCGTTCATCCTTCAAGATTAAGCCCAAAAGCCCTTGAAGATCCGTTCATCCATCAACCTTCAAGATCAAGCCCAACGCCCCTTGAAGATCCATTCATCAGCTGTGCATCCTTAGATCAAGCCCCGACGGCCCTTTGGATCAACAACTCATCCACAAACCCACACCCTACGAAGATAGAATCAGAGGACCAAATTACAAAGAGATTGTAACCCCAAAATCATTAATACAAAATATTATTTTGTACACGTATTCTTGTCTCTCGCCTGTTTCAGGAATTTCTCGTGTTTACAAATTTGGCACGCCCAGTGGGACTTATCTCTACCTCTCATCTCTATCCTCAAATCATCAAAAAAACGCAAATGGCATCAAGAAAGGATCAAGCTGTTCCTGCAGTCAAAGCGAAGAACAAGAACATTATCGCCGCAACTGGTGATATTTTGGGCATCACAACCCGAAGTGAAGCAAGAGCTCTTTTTGCCGCGGCTTCCGCCCCTGCATTAACTCTGTCAAAGGAACAAGAGCACCTGAGGCACGATCCTGTGATCACCCTAGCCTCGCTAAGGGCATCAAGAGGGGAAAGCCTGAGGAAATACTCAGAGTCCCTACCCTCCGGCGCTGATTCGAGCGGCAGTACAACCATGCAAGTCATGACCACTGGAGCAACTTCAATCGAGGAGCAACTAGCTCAGATGAATGAAGCAATCACAAAGCTCACACGGACTGCAGAGGAGAAAAACTTGCAAACCGCCGGACTCATCAACCGTCTGGAGGCACAGCATGGCGTCAAAATGAAACCAAGCTCTCTTCCAACTAAGAAGACCGAAGAAGGCTTTAACCCAAATGCCTACGAACCCATGTCAAAGGCTAGGCATGACTTTGCTTCCTCTTCAAATCTTGGAAAGAAGGTTTCAAACACCGTCGATGACAAAGAACTTAACCTCACCAAAACTCAAAAGAAGTTGAAGGAGCATGGTTACGGAGTTGACAACAACAAAGCCGGACTTGGCTTCACACCAAATGCACCCGTGAAGATTTCAAGCAAAGTGAAGAAAGCTAGCGCTCAACACATCAGCGTGAGCATTGAACAAGACCAAAAGGAGCCTAAACCCGTCCCTCGGCCGTCGGTCTTCGATAGGATGAGCCATTCAAGCTCCAGAATTTCAGCGCTTAATCGCATTGGTAGTCAAGGCCGAACCTCTGTCTTCAAGAGGCTTAGCATGCCAACATCCCAAAGCTCTGTTTTTGAAAGGTTGTTAAAGCCTAAGAAACAAAGCAACACAGCTATCTCTCCTCTGCGACCATCAGCTTCGGAAAGATTTGAAGATAATGAGAAGCCTTTTGGAAAGAGGAAGACAACACCAAAGGAAGAAAAGTTCGATGGGTTAGCAGAAAAAGGCGACGTTCAAAGCTTGATTCCTTCAAGGATGAAGCGCCAAGCAATCCTAGAGGTCGACACAAAAGGACCACTGAAGGTAAGGAGGCGCATCGTCGTCCACACTGGCAAATCTTCATGCCAACAAACCCAAGAGGACGGCACTGAAGATGAAATCCCTAAGAAAGATGTCACTTCTGGCTCTTTCGACTCAAAGTCTTCACCTCGACTGTTGGGGGCATGCTCCAAGTCAAGTGAAATTGAAGGATGGACTCATGTCGCTTCGAAGAAACTGCACGAGAAACATATGTCTTCTCCACAAGTGCACCAATCAGAAAGGGGGGAAAGCAGCTTTCGCCAACCTCCAAAGCAATGTGAAAATGTTGAAGATAAGAAAATTTCAACACAAAGATCGTTCATGCGGGATCTTTTCTTCCTCGAAGACTTATTCAATTTCTCGATCAAGACTCCTTGCTATGAAGATTGTGAGGAATGTCTTTCGAAGATCGCTGCGAAGAAATTGGACAAGCAGCAACCATCTTGTCCACAAGTTTATCAATCGAAAAGGGGGCAAAACAGCTCTTGTCAACCTCCAGAACAATGTGAAAGTGTTGGAGATAATGAAATTTCGACACAAAGATCGTCCATCCCCATCACAATGTGCGACCTCTTCCCAGAAGACTTCTTCAATTACTCGGTCAAGGCTCCTTCCTATGAAGATTGCGAGGAACGCCTCTCCCAGATCGCTTGACAAATCCACAACAACAACCAAAGCTCCTCGTTCGCACGAGCCTAAAAGGCGACAACCAAAGCTCCTTGTCCGCACGAGCATAAAAGGCGACAACAAACGCTCCTTGCCTGCACGAGCTAAAAATGCAAACGGCACCAAGACGCTCCTGGCCCGCAAGAGCATAAACTGTGTACGGCAAAATCATCACCAAAATCATCATCAAAATCATCACCAAAATCATCATCAAAATCATCACCAAAATCATCACTCATTTGAACTACGTTATGACTTGATCTCTTCTTTGGAAGAGTACGTAGGCAACTTGAAACTTCAAAACTTCAAGTACAGTCACATCAAAATAAATAAATAAATGTTTCATTAAAGAAAGTCAATTTTATTACAAAAGAAAAAAAAAATACATATGTTATAATGTATTATCAAAAAAAAAAGAAAAAAAAATACATATGTTATAATGTATTATCAAAAAAATAAAAAAATAAAAAATAAAAAAAATTAAAAAAAAAATTAAAAAAATAAAAAATAAAAAAATTATAATGTATTACAAATAATAATAATGGCGGTGGGCTGGATTGTTGAAGATAAAGCCCAAAACCATGATTGGGCTGGATTGTTGAGGATAAAAGCCCAAACCGTGGGCTGGATTGTTGAAGATAAAGCCCAAAACCGTGAGCCTATTAGCATCAGTCCAATGGCGTCCTTCTTCTTCCTCGCACCCAGACCCACCAGAATCCGAGCCAAAATCTCTATCTTCGCTCCCTTAAGGCCAGAACTTTCCAGCACTCCTCTCCTCTTTCTTTTTCCAAATCCAAACCTCCCTCTAGCCTTAAACCCCTTGAATGGAATCCATTATAATCAGCTTCTCAGCCATTCTCTCTTGGATTCCACCACGTCCCCACGATCATGAGATATCGATTTCGAGAACACTCCGCCATGGGAGGTCGACCCAGCCAATCCTCAGACCCAAAATTACAAGGCCAAGTTCATGTGCAGCTACGGTGGAAAGATCCTCCCTCGCCCGCACGACAACCAGCTCTGCTACGTCGGCGGCGAGACCAAGATTTTCGCTGTCGATAGCAACATCAAGTTGCGCCGCCGCCTGAGTTTGTCAGATCAGGCCACGGGTTATCGGATCGGATCCAGTGGTGACTTCGGTAGAGTTCCAGAGGCAATTGCAGAGGCTACAAACTGACAAACGCGTCAACAACCACCCCGACTGGTACGCCGTTCCCCTGTCCGATCGCCGATCCCAGCTCCCCAGCATGTTTATGGACCCTACCGCATCCCAGCTCTCTCTCCTCACTTTCTCTCTCTAGAGTTTGGAATCTGGCCGAGTTATCAAATTAATTGCAATTACAAATGAATGCAAGGCGACAATAAGAGAGAGAAACAGAAACAGAAACTGTCTCTTCTTCTCCTTCCATGCGTTTCTTCAGGCACCAAAAAAAAAAAAAAAAAAAAAAAAAAAAAAATGCAATCGGGAGGCTTCAATGGCGGAGGAGGCGGCGGCGTCCCTGATTTCTACACCAACGGGCGATCCATCTCCATCAATCAGTCGCACACAGAAACCAAGACAAAAAGAAATCCAGGAAAACAGAGCATCTCTCTCTGTGTCTCTCTCGCCTTCCTCTGACAGACGAGACGATGCAGCTGCAGCAACGGTCTACAATTCTCGACGTCCCATTCATCTGAGACGAATAATCAGAGCAACAGCAACCCCTGATCTCAATTTTTCTTCCTTCCTCCGCAAATGGCCAGGAAAGGTTTCGTCTCCGGGGAGGGAACTGTGACCGACGCCGATGCGTCCACGGCGGCGGAGAAGGCGAAGGCCGTGGAGATAAAGAAGCAGCTGGAGAGGCTGGTGAAGGCCATTGTCGACGAAGATGACTACAGGGTCGAGCAGGAAGCCCAAAATGAGTACTCAGTTAGAAGCTACCCTTCGTGAGCGTCTCTACGAGTGCCTCGCCGGAAAACTCATCATTCTCCCGACCTTGATCTGAAACGCACCGGATTCCACCAAAAAAAAAATTGAACAAGTTGAAGAGTGAGTCGGAAGCAAAAAAGGCAGAGACTTTACAGATCCGATTAAAAAAAAAAATTCGAAGCTTTATATATACAAAGCTTTTTTGCAAATCTATCAAATTTTTTTCACATTTTTCTCTGATCTGAAAAGCAGAGAGAAATGGTAGTGAAAGTTCCTTCGACCTGCTTGCACTGGTCGCAGCCGATCATTTGCCTCTCGTAAAAAACCCAGACAGAATTGAAGATTGGGCAGATGCTGAGCTTCAGAAAATAATAGAGGAAGATCAGGACCTCGACGCCGCTCCACGTCGTGAACTTCTCCGAGATCGTCGCGATACTCGCGTTCGTCGCCTCCTTCATCTACTTGCTTGGATTCTTCGGGATCTATTTCGTGCAGTCGCTCATTCTCCACTCCCTGCGATTTCACCGCCCAGCCGTTGACGGAGGAAGATGGGGAGGCTGTCAGTTGGATCGGCCAAGGTGGGAAGAACTGGCATTGATGATCTGTTGTCATCTACAGACGGCGGAAAGCACGATTACGACTGGCTAACTCTCTGGAAGCTCTGGAAGACGCTAAGTCCAGCAATCGAAGGGTGGTGCTCGCCCTTTATGACGCCCTGAGCTCCCGCGACGTCGACACGGTGCTCCAGATCGTCGCCCCGACCTCGAGTGGTGGTTCCATGGTCCGCCGACCCCCCAGTCTCTCTTACCTTCTTCCAATATCTCCACTCTTGAGCAGCTCAAGACCTCTGCCGCTGATAGATACACAAAGGAAAGAAGCAGTATTGTGGTCATCGGACTTAGTATTCACACAACACCCGTTGAAATGCGTGAAAAAAAAAAAAAAAAAAAAAAAAAAAAAAAAAAAAAAAACTTGCCATTCCAGAAGCAGAATGGCCTCGAGCCATAGAGGAGCTGTGTGGTTTAAATCACATAGAAGAAGCAGCTGTTCTTAGTACTTGCAACCGAATGGAGATATATGTTGTAGCTCTCTCTCATCATCGTGGTGTCAAAGAAGTTACCGAGTGGATGTCAAAGTCAAGTGGAGTCCCTGTTTCTGAGCTATGCCAACACCGGTTTTTACTCTATAATAAAGATGCCACTCAGCACCTCTTTGAAGTATCAGCAGGTCTTGACTCTCTTGTCCTCGGAGAAGGTCAAATTCTTGCCCAGGTGAAACAAGTTGTTAAAGTCGGCCAAGGAGTTGTTGGCTTTGGTAGAAACATCAGTAGGCTGTTCAAGCACGCAATCACTGTGGGAAAGCGGGTTAGAACTGAAACAAACATTGCTGCTGGGGCAGTTTCTGTAAGCTCTGCTTCTGTTGAACTTGCCTTGATGAAGCTTCCTGCACCTCCGCCATGGCTGCTGCCTTTGAATGTGATCAACAAAATCAAAGTTTGTTAACTCACACCCAAAGATCTCATCCGTCTGCTTGCCTCTGCTGCTGCCTTTGAATGTGATCAACAAAATCAAAGTTTGTCAACTCACACCCAAAGATCTCCTCCGTCTTCTCTCGGACACGGCCTGGGTTTTCACCCACGAACTCAGCCTTGCAGATGGCCTTATAAAGAAAAAAAAAAAAAAAAAAAAAAAAAAAAAAAAAGAGTAGCAATGATTATGCCGGGAAGCATATTTCAAAAGAATAATAAATAAAAGCCGCAATGATGATGCTGGAAGCATCTTTTAAAAGAATAATAAAAAAAAAATTAAAAGAAAAAATGATGGTGCTTCTGGAGTCATGTGCAAAAAGAAAAAAAAAAATATATATATATAATAAAAAGAAAGAAAAAACAATGGTGGTGCTTCTGGCACCATCTGAAATATATATATATAAATGAACGGTGGATCAGCGCCACCGAAAGCAAAGGAAAGAATAAAAAATGATGATGGACGGTGATGTACATGTTTTCTCTGTATTTAGCACAATACACTAAATAAAACAAAGCATGTTCATTGATTTTCGAGAAATTACAAATGTGTACAAAAAAAAAAAAAAAAAAAAAAAAAAAAAAAAAAAAAAAAAAAAAAAAAAAAAAAGTTGAAGCTTTCACAAAGGATGTGTACGTGAAGCCCCACTACGTGGCAACACTCTCGGAGCAGAAGACATTGGAGCAAGAGGCATCGGAGATAGAGCATTCGAGGCCTCAATACTTGGTGGAACGCTTGATGACGCCGGAAAAATGTGCCTCTGGAAGAAAGACGCAAGCCTTTGACGGTCACTTTGAACGCGACCTTGAGATTCTTGCATCTCATCAAGCTTCCTCTTCATGCCCGACGAATAGTTATTTGCAAGCACATGCAAACTTCTATTCTCGTACTTAAGCTGTTTAATCTCCTGCTTAAGATCTTCCACCTCTGCCATCAATGATTCCACCTGACGGGACCGAGCAAGCAGGCGTTGGCCCATGTTGGACACAGAGCCCGCACACTGAACACTAAGAGCGAGGGACTCTTGAACGGCCAACTCATCGGACCGTCCTGAAAGTAGCTGACTGTCTTTGGGAGTGAGGAGGTTCCGAGCCACTATTGTAGCTGTTGTGGCGTCCTGCATCACTGAGTCTTCACCTGTAAGAGGACCGTTAGAAGATAAGAAAGAAGGACACCATACATTACCTTGAAGCGGCGCAACCGGATCACTGCTGAGACTCAATTCTAAGCTAAGGTTCGATGGATTAGCCATTTTTCAAAGGTGTTAAAATAGATGGGTGGATGGAGTTAAAACTCAAAAGGCCGGAGATGATTTTCAGGAATGAGCAACCTTCAAAGTATGCATGTTACAGGTGATCAATACCTCTATAAAAAGGAAGAGGCGCTTGCTCAGAAATCAAAGAGGCATTGGTTCAGAAATCGAAGGGCCGCTTGTTCAAAAGTGAAGAGACATCGCTCTGCAAATCTCAAAAGCTGGATTTTCCGGCATAAGTTAGGCGACGCTTTCTCGGCTTTCCAGAAAACGCGTTCAACTTTGTCAAAAGATCTCCGACAAAGTTGAAAACACGTGGAGGCTGGCGACGCTTTCGCGGCTTTTCAGAGCACGGGTGCCACTTTGTCAAAAGATCACGTGGAGGTCATCATCGCAGCTACACATCTTTAGCTGACGAGCGCAAAGTTCGGCGACGCTTTCTCTGCTTTTCAGAAAACGCGTGCCACTTTGTCAAAAGAGACGCTCGTTCAGAAATCGAAGAGGCGTCGTTCAGAAATCGAAGAGGCGTCGTTCAGAAATCAAAGAGGCGTATTCAAAGATCGAAGAGTCGTCACTATTTCAAAAAGCCGAATTTGCGGGATCAAAACGTTTGTCGACAAGGGTAAAAGAACAGTACCACCACTTGCTATTGGGAAATCCCTATATATGTCGACCTTCATCTTTTATGGCAAGGCAGACCTGCGGAAAAAAAAAAAATGCCCAACTCTTCCTCACCTCCGAGAGTACACTCCCAGCAAAACATCTCAAAATACTCAATTTTTTTCCTCTTCCCCAAAGATGATACCAGATGCCTGGAGTACAGATGACCCAGGAGGAAACGGTAGATGGAAGCATGTGCTGATTCATTCACCGCTTCTTCAAAAGCAAAAGTATCTCATATCATCAAGGGCGAAAGCAAAGGTATCTCATATCATGCTTTTTCCCTGTCCTTTTCTTTGTCCTTGCTCTTACATGCAGGAGAAGGGGAAATAGAGTTATCAGTCGGAACCTGAAATCAAACTTCCGACCTGGAACTGATTGCCTGGAACCTTTGCCTGGTTGCTTACCTTGCATTGCTCTCGAGTACTCATCGTCGCGGAGAAGTAATGTTTTGAAGCACCATTTAAATGCAAAGGTTGCATTCCATTCCTGCATCAGAGGACAAATACTACACGAGAAGATGCCAAACCTGCATAAGGAAATACCACTTCTGCAAAGGGAGCAAGTAAGACAAGTGAAAATGATACATCAAAGCATGTGGAGACAAGCACAACAAATATATGTGCTGATTCATTCGCTGCTTCTTCAAAAGCAAAGGTATCTTATATCATGCTTTCTCCATGTCCTTTCCTTTGTCCTTGTTATTACTCGCATGACAAAGTGAAAAGAGCAATCAGACGGCACTTGGAGTCAGTCTGCCGATCTACCCTCTTCAATACGAATTGGGGAAAGATTGAACAAAGAAACAGGTCATCACTTCCACCTCCTGCTTGCCTGCCATGTGTCTGAATCCTGCTACCCAATTCAAGAGTAGCACAAAGGAAAATCAACGGTAGGGGGAGACCAAAAGAATCCTCCAGCCCAGTTCAAGATCAAGCCTCGATGGCCCTTGAAGAAATCACAAGTCCGATTCAAAATCAAGTGTTCACCACCCTTGAATCAAATTCAACTCCAGATAAAAGGAGTAAGTTCAGACCTTCGGAGGAGACCAAAAGAATCCTCCAGCCCAGTTCAAGATTAAGCCTGCGGAAAATCAACGATTGGAGGAAACCAGAAAATCTTCCAGTCAAGCTCAAGATCAAGCCTCGATGGCCCTTGAAGAAATTTCCAGCCCAATTCAAGATCAAGCCTCGACGGCCCTTGGGTTGACATCTACATTAAGGGACTTCAAAACGCATCTTCTACACGTGACAAGCACATGTTTACGACGCGCCTTGAAGTGGGGGCATTTGTAGACATCAAAATTTCGGTGAAATGAATGTTGATCAATAATTAAAATTTCAACGTTCACGTGTCACATAAATTTTACATGTAGCGTGTGATTCAACAAAAAATCGAAATAAATTGGAAAAGTCATCAAATATGACACGTGTCAATACCTGGCAGAAACGATTTATTTCATCTGATTATTTAAATCCAAAAATCAAGTTTTGGAATTCTATAAATATGAGGCCAAAGGCATTCATTTGGAGGGGGAAGAAAAGAAGGAGGAAGAAGGGAAAAAAAGAAGGAAGGAGAAGGAGAAAGGAAAAGAAGAAAAGAAGGAAGGAAGAAAGAAAGAAGCCTTGAAACTCTAAAGCTCTCAAGCAAATCCCGAAGGATCAAGAAAGCAATCTTCGTTCTTCGTCAAATCCACCTTCAAGATCAAGCCCCGACGGCCCTTGAAGAACTTCCACCAACTCAAGATCAAGCCCCGACGGCCCTTGAGGAAAGTGTTCATCATCCACACATCCGTTCATCCTTCAAGATTAAGCCCAGAAGCCCTTGAAGATCCGTTCATCCTAAGATCAAGCCCCAACGGCCCCTTTGGATCAACAAATCCACACATCCGTTCATCGTTCATCATCCATCAACCTTCAAGATCAAGCCCCGACGCCCTTGAAGAACTTCCACCAACTCAAGATCAAGCCCCGACGGCCCTTGAAGAAAGTGTTCATCGCTCATCATCCGTTCATCCTAAGATCAAGCCCCAACGGCCCCTTTGGATCAACAACCTCAACAAATCCACACATCCGTTCATCCTTCAAGATTAAGCCCAGAAGCCCTTGAAGATCCGTTCATCCTAAGATCAAGCCCCAACGGCCCCTTTGGATCAACAACCTCAACAAATCCACACATCCGTTCATCCTTCAAGATTAAGCCCAAAAGCCCTTGAAGATCCGTTCATCCATCAACCTTCAAGATTAAGCCCAGAAGCCCTTGAAGATCCGTTCATCCTAAGATCAAGCCCCAACGGCCCCTTTGGATCAACAACCTCAACAAATCCACACATCCGTTCATCCTTCAAGATTAAGCCCAAAAGCCCTTGAAGATCCGTTCATCCATCAACCTTCAAGATCAAGCCCAACGCCCCTTGAAGATCCATTCATCAGCTGTGCATCCTTAGATCAAGCCCCGACGGCCCTTTGGATCAACAACTCATCCACAAACCCACACCCTACGAAGATAGAATCAGAGGACCAAATTACAAAGAGATTGTAACCCCAAAATCATTAATACAAAATATTATTTTGTACACGTATTCTTGTCTCTCGCCTGTTTCAGGAATTTCTCGTGTTTACAACATTTTAGGTGCAAACAAACTCTACATATATATTAACTTATGACTTCCTGGATGGAGAGGGATTCGAACCCCCGGTATTCCTATCAATACTTCGGTTTTCAAGACCGACTCTTTCAACCGCTCAGACATCCATCCTCTTCGCGCTTCGCTCGCCCTATCTATCCGCGCGCTGGCAGGTAGGGGCTTATCTATGTGATTCGCTACGCTTGCTTGCGCATATCGACGGACTCTATTGCCTGCCGGTTAGCGAAACTTTTCCGGTAGTACGAATCGCTACGCTTCGCTTGTTTCTATATGATAATATGCACCTTGGTTGCTGCGCTCCCCGCGGGTAATATAAAGAGAGTGAAGAACGAATGATCCTCCAAACAAAAAAGTGATTGAGTCCGACTCAAGCGAGTGAGTGAAAGGCGTGGCAAGAGAGCGAGTTCGACTCGCGAACGATCGGCAAGAGTATATGTATGTATGTGTGTGTGTGTATATATACACACACACATTATTATAAACATTGTATCT